GGGTGGCGCTCTGACCCTGTCGTTTAATGTGCAGAAGACTTGATAGGAGGCATGATTCATCTGCTCAAAAAATAAGAAGAGATATTTACGGTAAGTTCAGGTTTCACAACCACTCGAGTGATTTTCACTTAAAAGGATTTTAGTTTAGACCAGAGTTGGATGTCTCATTGCCACCAACTTCAATCTCCCAGCCTTCAAATAATTGTCTTCTTGACTTGATTCTTTACTTCAATTTATTTATTTGAAAATGTGTACTGAACCCGTACCACATGCCAAATGCTGCCCTAGGTGATGGGAATATACACATGAATAAGAAGTGGCCCCTGCCTTAGAAAATGCATAGTCCAGTAAGGGAAACGTCCTTGGACAACAGGCTGTCTCCACACAACTTATGAACAAAAGCTATATTTCTTTTCCATTGTTTATGGAATAAAGCCGAGGTCAACACACAGAGGCTAGAGAATCTGTGTGTTAATACAAAGGGAATTTAAGTCCTATAAAAGCGCTCATCCATTGTTATATTTGTTTATGTTTCTCTCTCCTACACTAGACTATATGGTCATTAAGAACTTCTTTGTGTTTGCTAACTGCCGGTGCTTAATAAATATTTGATGAGAAAATGAAATAATGATCTCTCATTCTTCTGGTTGAGTATTCCCTGCCTTTATAGCTGAGCTCAGTGACTATTCCTGTTCTCTTGATACAGAGGACAGAGACGCAGGTAACACTTTGATGTGTGTAAGACTTCAGAATTTTCTAAGGGCTTTCACACACATTTAAAAATAATTTTAAATTAAATTAATCTAAAAAAAAATACACTTTGACCACAGGAGTTTCCCTTTTACAATGAATGGTGTTAGAAACTGTCTCCTCCCTTCCAATTGGTCCACTAAACTATTGCTCTTTAAAAGCAAGATTGGAAAGCGTGTGTTTCAGATGCTTACTACCCTCCTCAACTGAAGACAAACCAAAACGTAGAGAAGTTATTAAATAGAAGTTAATAATAGCATCAAAAGGAATTCAAGGTGGGACTCAGGAAAGTTTTATTGAATATAAAATATATGAAGCAGGAAAATGATTTCCTAAAGGAGCTACAGGATCACCACAAAACTGCCAAACACTGTGGTTCCAAAATTGCTCCATTCAGAGGGTTTGGGTTCAATTTTTGCGCAGAAAAACCTGCGGGGAAAAATTGGCCACCAGAGGGTGCTGCACCAAAATCCAATGGAACTCCCTCCTCAAACTCCCTATGTAGTGTGCATATATTGAAGACCTACTATGGGCCAGTCTCAAAGCTCTCATGGTTGTTATCCCAACCGATTCTCCATAAACTGCGCTCCATGGAAAAGCACTGCCCTAGACTTCCAGATCAGGACATTATTTCTCTTTTTTTTAGGACATTATGTCTTAAAAGCAGAAACTCACATGGGATCCACACTGCCTTAGCCGGGAGAGCTCTATCAGCTACAACTGGGTAACCTTAGGCTCCTGGTGTCTGTCCTATTCTTGCATCTGCTTGTGAATATAGTAATTTACATAAGGCTAATTTATGTCTGCTACTTCTTTTAAGTACACTGACGATGAATAAATCAGAGCAATATGAGAACATATGAGACTGTTACATTTAATTTAGTAATTAATAATTAAGATTAAGAGAACTATCTGTCATTTAGAAATGCCAGGATTCATCCTTTTAATTACCATCTGGATTTCTTGTAAATTATTTGATTTGTTTAAGCCTTGTTTATTTTTGTTCAAAAGCCCTCAAATTTTGCTAAGTTGGCATGCCAGACACTCAGCTAATCGCCTTAGCAGAAAACGAAACAAAACATGAAGGAGCTCAGCACTTGAACCGCTCTGGTGATGCAGAAAGCGCTCTGGTGGAGGAGCAGGGAGAACTGCCTTCCTGGCATATTCGCTGCCAATTACCTGTGGGACCGGGGGCAGGTCACTGTGTACCCCTCAATCTCAGACAGAGTATTGGACTGAAGCAGAGATTTTTCGTTTTTGAATGAACCCCTTCTTCTGCAATGGAGGGAGAATATTCTGCCCTTGTCCTGGCTCTAGGGAGATGGCAAATGGGTCCCATCTGGTTTCACCCAAGCATGGGAGGTTTTGCTGTCCATTTTGCACCACCTCTCCATGTGGCTTTGGAGCCACATCTCCCGGTAACCATGGGGGCAGGGCTCATGAATAGGACAGTTGTCTCAATGCAAGTTGTCTACACAGAGTAAGAGTCATGGGGCCTGTCATAAGTGGGTTCCGTTACATGTTTCAGAAGCCAAATAGAGGGTTAAAGGAGGAGTTTATTTCTCTCACTGAACCAGGAAACTGAGTATTGGGCAGGCCAGCCCTAAAGTGGCTGCTCCTCTAGCAGACTCCTTCTACCTCCCTGCTCTCCCATCTTTAGCGAGTGGTCGCAAAGTGGCTGGGGCAACCTCAGGCATCACACCTCCATTTGGGGCATGAAAAGGGGGAAAGGAGAAGGCAGGGGGTCCACGCCAGCTGAGTCTGTCCATGTTTCTTAGGAAAACAATAGCTTTCCTGGAACCTCTTCCAGTGGAAGATGTCAAACTTTCATTCACCTCTCATTGGCTAGTCTAGCCACATGACCTTGAAGGAAGCCTAGGAATGCTTGGGTGGGGACATTGCCACCATGAACCAAACTGGAGATATAACAGCAAGGGGAAAGAGGTGAGTGGAAATTGAGTAGGCTACAGGCTGCATGTGCCACAGGAAGGAGAAGAGTATTGGACAGAGATGCGGGTCCTCATGCTAGTCATCGGAAGGCATGCAGATGGCTGTCTACGGGGAAGTCATCAACAGACATCTGCAAGAAATCCACGAGTGAAGCTCCTCCTGTGGGGACGCAGTGCTCACTCCAGTAGAGACTTGCCTTCCTTTGACACCAGCAGAGCCTGGGGGCCTCTAGACGCCAACTCCACACCTACCAGAGTCTGGTCCCGCATCCAGGACCCCCTGATCTGCCTTCCTCTTCCCTTCCCTCCATCCCTCCCTCTCCCCATTTCTGAGAGCCCTTCCCCCTCCCTCGCTTCCCAAACCTCTAGTCTACACAAGGAAATCTGCCCTTCCTGAAGCCCAAAGTTTCGACCTATAGAATCCAGGAATGCCTTCCTTTCTTTGCTCCTCTGTTTCACATTTCTCTAAGGCAGCTAACACAGAATACTCGCCAAATGGGTAAAGGGTCCAGGTGTATAAGGAAGTTCTAGGAACAGAAACGCAATTTAGATTTTAAAATTTCATCCCTCTCCTCTTCATGTGAAATCTTACCCCAGAAAAAAAAAACCCCAAAACATAAAACAGATAAAACCAGAGTCAACATGATTGGGGCAGGGCGATGAGAGGCTACCAGGACCTTCCCAGAGGCCTGGGAGGAGTTGGCCAAGGAAAGTTTGAAAATTTGCCAAGTTGGGAAATCTCTACAGTCCCTTCCAGTTTGAAAGTTCTATGATTCTATATGAAGAAGAAAACACTTGGTCTATTTTACCAAAACTTGAGACTAGTCACACATAGTGAGTGTGACAGGTAAAGTAATTGATACAGGTGTGTTCCATCCTGTCCCTGACCCTGACCCTCCTTCTTGGCATTTGTTTCCCCACCCTCCAAGCAGGGTCTGGGGGTAAGGCATCAATATGCAAAGATGAGAAGCAAGAAGAGATACCATGTCAAAAGTTAAGCATAGAAATATTATAGGTCCCAGCAACTCCAGTCCCAGGTAAAGAACTGAAAACAGAGACTCAAACACTTGTACATTCATGTTTATAGCAGCATTGTCCACAATAGCTGAAAGGAGGGAAAAGCACAAAGCCCATCAACAGATGACCAAATTAACAAATGATGGCCTATACACACAGTGGAATATTATTCAGTCATCAAAAAGAATGAAGTGCTGATACATGCTGGATGAACCTCAAAAACGTTATGTTAATTGAAGAAACAAGATACAAAAGGCCACGTATCGTATAGTTCCATTTGTATGAAATGTCTACAATAGATAAATCCATAGAGATGGAAAGCAGATTGGTGGTTGCCACATGCCAGGGGAGGGGAGAATGTGGAGTAACTGCTTAATGGGTACATGGTTTTGTTTTGGGAGGGTGAGATGTAAGAAGAGGAAGAGGTGGCACCAGGGAACGTCTGCAGGGAGAGTGTTTGAGGGCAGTGGCCATGAGAGGAGCGACTGTAGGTGTGAGGGAGCAAACCTGAGAAGATGCTGCTGGTGATGTTCTGCCCTTCCCCCCCACCGGAAGTCCAAGTAAGGGACTGCAGCCCTGTCACAGTTGGGAGCAGAAGCTCTGGAACCAGACTGTCTGGTTTTAAATCCCAGTCCTGTTACTTACTAACTGTAAGTACCTTGGGCAAGTTACATAATCTCTCCATACTTTAGTTTCCTCATCTGTAACATGGAGATAACAATAATACCTAACTCATGGGATTGTTAAAAAGGGTTAAATGAATCACTCCTTATAAAGCACTTGGGATAGTGTGCATCACTACTTCATCATTCACATCAGCCTTCCATGAGTGTTTGTTTCTTATCCTTTTGGTCTCCGGGATCTTCCTCTCTAACCAAGACATTCCAGAATGGAGCCATGTAAATTGTGCTTTACAAACCTTATGTCATATCATGTGTTTATCTAGTCTGCAATTTTTTTGGGGGGGGGGAGGCAAACCACGTGGCTTTATTTAGCACTCCCGGATGAGGTTCTGGGGTCCCAAGAGAGGGGGCCCCAGAAGTTGCCTCCATATGAAGGGGGTGAGGGCTTGCTTTTATATCGTTTGGGCCGGGCTAGGGACTTTTGGCAGAAGAGCTGGTAGTCTGAAATGTTTTAACGCAAACTTTGAAACAATTATAAATAACATCACCTTCAAAGAAAGCTACCTTATATCTCAGGCTCTAGAAAAATCCTAAATTCCCTAGAATTTTGCCCTTTCCCACTGTTTCCTAAGGCTGCTGTAACAAAGTACAACAAACCAGGTGGTTTAGAACAGAACATAAATTTATTTTCTCACAGTTCTGTTGGCTAGAATCAGAAATCAAGCTGTCAGTAGGGCCATGTTCCCACCAAAGCCTCTAGTGGAAGACTGGTTACCAGAAATTCAGCACTTGTCCCTGAAGCCACATCAGAAGAACAAGGACGGGTGGTTTGAGGAGAAGGAAAGAGAAGTGTATTAATTTGCTGGCAATTGAGGAGGTTAGCACACTTCCATCTTTTTTTTTTTTTTTTTTTTTTTTGGCCAATATGGGAAAGCAGCAAACTTCCATCTTAAAGTACCAACATCCTGCCTTTGAGCAGGAATACAGAGGTTTTAAGGGGGAGGTTTTCAGCTTTAGGCTGTTGCTGTTCAACTATAATTGATGGTTCAGATTCATCCAATCTTCAGCTAAAATAATCTCATGACCTCTGCCCAAACAATTCCCTTGAGCCATCTCCCATGTTACCAAGAACAAAGTACAATCTCCTGCCCCTCCCAACCACTGACCTGAGTCAGGAATGCAGGTTTTAATTCCTAAAAGGAGTGCGGTGGGGGGTTAGAGAGACAGAAAACATTTTTACCCTTTTTCAGGCCATTCCCCGTATTATAGACTCTTCCTTATTTCTGGTAGCCCCCAGCTTTCCTTGGCTTGTAGCAGCATAATCTCTGCCTCCATCTTCACCTGGCTGTTTTTTCATGTGTGTGTCTTCATAGCATCTTCCCTCTGTGCCTGTGTCCAAATTTCTCTTGTCTGATAAGGACACCAGTCATTTTGGGTTAGGGCCCCACCCTCCAGTATGACCTCATCCTAACTTACCTAGTTACATTTGCAATGACCCTGTCTCCAAATGAAGTCATCCTGAGGTACTAGAGCTTATGACCTCAACACAGCTCCTGGAGGACACAATTCAACCCATAACCCCCACCAATCCCTGCAGCTCTCCTAAGGTATTCATGAGCTCCACTGCTGCACTTCTGTGAGCCTTCCTGTGCCAACCAGCTGCTGACACAGTCTTGAGGGAGCGAAAAGCCCCCCTTCTTCAGACGCAGCTCTCCTGTGATGCAGGCACTCTGCAATCGCACTGCCATGGTTTGAACTCACTTGGTTCCTGTGCTATTCTATGAACTCCTTGCAGGCAGGGACTATATCATACACAACACTGAAGAGTGGAAAAGTACTAGCAGAGCACCTAGTACGTGCACTGGAGATGAAAGGACAGAAGGAAATGAAGTGAGGAGGGAAAGGAGAAAGTTAATGCAAATGTGGTGCTCAATAGCCCTCACCTGCAAGGGACATCAGGCCCTCAGCACCCCTTCTCTGTCCCACCTCTTGTTTCTCTCACATGGGCCCCCAACTTTGCCTCCATCAAGGCTCTGTTCTGACCACGCTGGAGCTGGTAGTCCCAGCAGTTCCTAAATGACATGAACTCCCTCTGGCCACTACAGCCAACTCTGGGATGGCCTTAGAGCTGCAGCTCTCTCCGTTACAGAGGGACAGAACATGGAGGATAAGCCTTTGCCCTGATTACCTACAGCTCAGCCTAATGCTCAGATTAACGATAGAGCTAAGCCTTACTGAGTACTTACAATGTACCAGGCACTATTCTGTTCTCCTCACACCAGCTCACTGACACCTCACAACAGTCCAATGTGGTGGAAACTATTGTTATTCTCACTTTTACATATGAGGGAATCGAAGCTTAGAGAAGTTAAGCAACTTAGCCAATGTCACACAGCTAGTGAGAATGGGAGCCAAACAATATCCAAAACTTGGAAATAAGCAAAGGACAGCTTCCGATCTTTTCTATGTCATGCTGGAACACTGCCCAGTAGCCCCACTCCAGAACTATGCCATTCTCTAGGAGTGGGGGTTACCTTACTGACTCATTCTCTACCATTGATTAGGATATTCAACAACTCCGTAAGGTTGGATGTGAATTTGTAGGAAATTGACGGTGAATCAAATGATTCTTGACTGATAAAAATGCAGATGATTTTCTCTCCAGTGGACAAGATAACTCCAAATATTACAGTTTTATTGTCCTCTAGGACAGTGGTCCCCAACCGTTTTGGCACCAGGGACCGGTTTCATGTAAGACAATTTTTCCACGGAGCGGGGTATGGGCAGGGTGTGGAGCTCTGTGGTCTGGGGGTTTGGGACCACAGCTCTAGGAGATTAGCCTGTTTTTGTTTTTGTTTTTATCTGATTTAGCAATCTTATTCTAGCATTCTTTCTTTCAGGGATTATAAATACTTCTGTCTCAACTGTAATCCTTTGAACCAAGTTTACCATCCTGCTAGTTCTCTTATTAAGAGTTAATTAAACCTGTGACACATTCATTCTATATTTGTATGAGAGGTATATTTTTAATGTGTTGAAATTTTTACTTGGCACAGTAAAACCCACATACTTAACCACTGCACTAGAATGAATAAATGAATGTGAAATCAGAAAATATATGTTGATTATGTTTAAGAAAGGAGTGGAAACCCCAACTGAAACCCAGCAGTTTCTGAAAGAGTGATGAATAAATCAGTGCGAGTGGAGTATGATTTATCTCGATATTAACTCACCACAATGGCAGAGAAAAACAAAAGCTGTTCTGGAGAAACCTTGTCTGCTGGTTTCTTTGGGATTGAGACAGGCCTTTGAGACTAAAACTGGGGCTTCCCAAAGAGCCAGGCAGTCCCTTGGAGACTGAACTGTGTGTCTCTCAAAGGGTGTAACCTCCTGGGAGTCCTTAAAAGAGGAAATAATTAACACATTTACGAAGGGCCTGGCAGAAACCAAGTACCCTAGCTCAAGATTGCTAATAAACTGTTAATAGAACTTAATAAATGAAATAACTTCTTTCATTTATTGTTTCTTGGAATGCACAAAGTACTTACTAAATATTGAAGGAATCAACAAAGTGCCTCCCAAGGCAGAGAAATCGCCTCTGCAAAAAATCAAGCCAAGATGATCCAATTCCACTGAAGACATCTTTCAGGGCTATTAAAGTTATTTCCCTTATTTTGGAGGAAGATTACAACATGCATACTTAGTTCCAAGTCACTACTAATAGCTTGCTAATGGTATTGACAGAGTTCTTAATTATACGAGAAAGACTATGAGTGGCCTATTTTTTAAGTGTTCAAAATGGAGACATACATTAAATACCCATTGTCTTCCTCTGTGCTTCTCTTCCAGGGTGGTTATGGGTATTTGTGGTTTCCTTGGGTGGAAAGAAGGATAGGAGAACAGTGAGAACACCTAGGGGAGGGAGAGAGCAAGGAGAAAAAGAAACAGTAAGAAAGCACATTCACATGATGCAGTTCCCACTTGTCAAAGAAATGGGCAGAAAAACTCCACAAGACAGTCCCAGGAAAGCCCTTCCCTCCTCACAGCCATGTGGCTCTTCCCCAGCCCTCCTGCCTGTAGATCTCTTCACCTCTGGGGCTTTCAAAGAAGACTTACTTACAGGTGAACCCATTTTAAGAAAGCCTAATGCAGGCGACCTCAAACTATGGCCCACGGGCCACATGCGGCCCACAGAGGACATTTATGCGGCTCACTGGGTGTTTTTGCCGCAGCTGCCCGTCCTGCTTAGCAGCCGACTCGTCCCGGGCCCACAGTGCACATGTGTGGAATGTGCACCACACTCTCCAACAGCCCCCCAACGGTCTGAGGGACAGTGAACTGGCCCCCTGTTTAAAAAGTTTGAGAACCCCTGGCCTAATGTATAAGCCACTGGTTCACACTCTTTGCTGCGTATCCCCACCACCTGGCTGCCAATAAAGAACACAGACACCTGGGCTCATTCAGGCACGACAGGGCCCGGGGCCTCGGTCTCTCACCAAGTTCCCCCAGGTGACTCTGATCCACGCCCAAGTTTGAAAACTACTCGTGCAGACCACCTAGACCTGGACCAAAGTCCAAACAGAAAATAATTATCAGTTTATCAGATGATTCACCACAGGATTCTTATAACTTACAGCTCTTTTATATTTTTTAAATAAATTTACATCACTTTTTTCATATATTTTTAAGTGTCTACTGCATAACCAGGACCAAGTTGTAAAAACGTTTGGAAATCCTCTCTCTTCCCTCAAACAACTTAAGGTTTCTTATATGGTGCTTAATCAATAAGTGTTTATGTGCCAGGCATTTAGGATACAAAGATGTCTAAGATATAGTCCCTGCCCTGAAGATGTGTGTAGTGGAGGAAACAGCAAATCATATCATTATAGTGACAGTTCTCACACATCCAGCACTTACTCTCTGGCAGCCTCTGTACTAACCAGTTTACCTGAAAGAGTGTCTTAAACTCTTCTTAAGAACCCTGTGAAATAGGATCATTATGTACCCTCAATTTCTGTTTGAAGAAACAAGACATACAAATGCTTTTTTTAAAACTTGCCCATTCCATCAACTGATGAATGGGTAAATAAAATGTGGTGTGTCCATACAATAGAATATTATTCAGCCATAAGATGGAATAAAGTACTGATACACACAGCAACATAGATGAACCTTGAAAACAGTATTATAAATGAAAGAAGTCAGACATTCACATGATTACATTTCCATGAAATGTGAAGAACAGGCAAATCCAGAGAGGCAGATGGTGAATTGGCGGTTGCTAGAGACTAGGGAAGAGAAATGACTGCTAATGGGCATGGGGTTTCATTTTGGGATGTTTAAAATGTTCTGGCATTAGATAGTGGTGATGGTTGCACAACCTTGTGAATATATTAAAATCCACCAAACTGTATACTTTTAAATGCCGTATTTTATGGTATGTGAATTATCTCAATTAAAAAAGAAAAGAGGCCGGGCGCGGTGGCTCACGCCTGTAATCCTAGCACTCTGGGAGGCCGAGGTGGGCGGATTGCTCGAGGTCAGGAGTTCGAAACCAGCCTGAGCAAGAGGGAGACCCAGTCTCTACTATAAATAGAAAGGAAATTAATGGCCAATCAATATATATGAAAAATTAGCGGGCATGGTGGCACATGCCTGTAGTCCAGCTACTTGGGAGGCTGAGGCAGCAGGATGCTTGAGCCCAGGAGTCTGAGGCTGCTGTGGGCTAGGCTGACGCCACGGACTCACTGTAGCCTGGGAAGGAAGGGAGGGGAGAAGGGAGGGGAGGGGAAGGGAGGGAGGAAGGAGGAAGGGAAGGAGAGGGAGAACGGAGGAGAGAGGGAAGGAGAGAGGAGGGAAGGAAGGGAAGGGAGGGAGGGAAGGAAGGGAAGGAAGGGAAGGAAGGAAGGAAGGAAAGGAAAGGAAAGGAAAGGAAAGGAAAGGAAAGGAAAGGAAAGGAAAGGAAAGGAAAGGAAAGGAAAGGAAAGGAAAGGAAAGAGGAAAGGATTACCCAAAGCCATGCAGCCACAGAGCTGGGCCTTGAACCTGGGTGAGTTTTATCTGGAGGCCTGTGTATTCGACCCCTATACTACTCTGCCTCCAGAAAGGAAAATAAACCAACAACCACATTGCCATTCAGTGATGAAGTGTGCACAGGAGACCGTAGGAGTCGGCGGGGAGGCACTCCAAAAGTTCAAGTGGGAGAGGATTCCAACATGAAAGGATCATAGGAAAATACTAGACAGTACCTGGCCTGGGGCTGGGTGGATGGTGCAGACCACAGGGAGAGTGTTACGAAGAGGAGAGAGCTTATCAGGCAACCCCAGGAGTTGAGAAAGTCTTCAGGAAGAAAACTGGCTCTCAGCCAAACTTGG